TTTATAAACCTTCCACTAGCGGGCACACGAATAACATGACTATATCGGAGACAAAACCAAGCAAGATTTACAAAAAAATTTCACGATTCACAATCGTTCTCAATTTCAAGAATAAACCGAAGAAATCTCATGTGGGCATGCTCAATTCTAAAAAATAAGGAAAACGATAAAAGTTCAATTTCCATTTAATCATGCTCAAATGCAAATAAACCCATTTAAACCTTGCCACCATCTCAAAAAAAAGTTAAAATATGCTTGAAAATTTAAGGGCATTATCATAATTTACTTACCTTAATCGCGCAGGATAGAAGGCTTAACCAAGTGCTAGGGTCACAGGAAGATCAAGAACCTAATCACAATATTTCTGAATTAATATCTATAAAGAAATTTTATTTCTTTATTTATTTTTATTTTTCTCCTATTCGAAATTTGAGCACACAACAGTAGATTGCGCATATATATATATGTACATAGTTACACATACAATTTTTCCAAATTCATGGACAGGAAATGGGAGAACCAGCTTTGACAAAAAAATGAGCAAGTCAAGGAATTTTCCTCTTTTTCTTTCATACATCATCACAGCAGCTCAATTAAAGGATTCCCTACATAAATTGACTTAAAACTCATTGCAAGGCTACCGAAATTCATCCCCTATTTCCAGCAGATTTTCGGACAACCCAGCACCCATACAACCACTTAAACTCACAAAGGCAGCAATTAATCACCCAATTGTCGGAAATTAGAGAAGCCAACCTACCAGAAATCCTTAGCAAGCAAGGCTGGAGCTGGCGGGTATAGGGGAAGAGCTGGCGGAAAATTGGGGGGCTTCCACGGGAACCACTAGCAATTGAAAGAAATGAAAATTAGAGTGAACCCACATACATCAAGGCTGAAAATAGGAGTTTCATGGCTGATTTTTACCAAGAAAACCGAAGCTCACACCCAGCAGCAACCGGCGCCAGGGGAGGAAGAAGACAGCAGATTTGGGGAATTTTCTGCAAGGGGGAAGATTTCTAAGTCCTAGACTTGTTCTTGAACAAGAAGAGAACAAAAATCATCAAGTTCTCTTACCAATTTCTCTTACCAATTTCTCGGGTGGAGGCGTCGGAAATGGCTGGTTTATGTCCGGCTGCAGGGGAGAAAAGAGACAGAGCAGACACGCGAAAATGGCTGGGGAAGAAAGAAATAAAGTAAAAAAGAAAAAAGGAGAGGTCAGCCGGCCTTATACAATAATCTTTTAAACCCTTTGGAATTTGAAAATTTGACTATTAGGTCCACTAATAACGTTTCCTCACCATTAAGTCCCTAACTCAACTTTAATGTTCTTGAAATTTTGGGGTATTACAATCATGCAAATACATTTTTTTTTAAAAAAAGAGACAAATAATTTAGTCAAAAATTTCGACCAAAAAACATAATTAAATTAAAAAAATTACTTAATTAATTCAGTCAAAATTTTTAACTGAAATGCTTACTATTTTATTATTAATATAATTTGGATAAAATATTTAACTAAATTAATGATGGCACCAATTGGTGCTCTTTTATTTCGGTCAACATTTTTGACAAAAATAATTTTAAACCAAATTATTATGTTAAATTTTAAATATCTTTTAATCGGACTAAAGTATATTTCAGTAAAAATACTTGACCGAATTAATTTTTTGCAATCAATATTTTCTTGTCCAAAATATTTAATGTAGCTATTGAAACAATACCCTTAATTAAATGCATTTTATATTTTATATTTTTTTTGTTAACTTAAAAATATTTTTTAAATGAAAAAAATTGTTAAAAGAGACAAATTATTTAAGTAAAATTATATGAGAAAAATGCATGTTAAAATTTATAATTAAAAAACTAGAGAAAATTTCTTTATGGCACGTTCATCAGATTTTTTTTATTATTTAGTGAAGATTTGCTTTTAAATTTTATACAAGTTAAAATGCTTGAATAAAATTCATTATAGGTGTATTAAAAATTTCTATAACATTTATAATATCCTTTTATGATAAAAAAATTAAAATATTAAATTTCTATTAATTAAATAAATTATT